TGCTTTATTGTATTTAGCACAATGTACTTGACCAAATATAGCTTTTTCAGTCAACTTGTTAACAAGGTATAGCTCTGCTCTAACAATTCATCATTGGAAGGGAGTCAAAGATGTATTACGATACCTTTGTGGGACAATAAACATGGGCCTCTTCTACTCAAAGAAATCCACAAATGACCAGATTCTTGTTGGATATACAAATGATCAGCACAAAACCCGTTCACAAATTGGATATGTGTTCACTAATGGAGATACATCAATTTTATGGTGCTAAAAAAAGAAAACATTAGTTGTTACATCTTTCAATAGCTCGAAAATACTTTCTTTACATGAAGCAAGTCGTGAATGTTCTTGGTTAAGATCAATGATCCATCATATCCGGAATTCATGTGGTCTACCTTCAAAGACAAACACTGTAACTATTATTCATGAAGATAATGCAGGCTGTGTTGCCCAAATGAAGGAAGGATTCATCAAGGGCGATAAGACTAAACATATATCTCCAAAGTTTTTCAGTGCACATAAGCTTCAGAAGGCTAAAGTTATTGAAGTCAGACAAATCCGTTCCAATGAAAATCTGGCAGACCTGTTCATCAAATCTCTACCAAAATGCACGTTTCAGAAGCTAATGCAGGGTATCAGATTACGTCGGCTTACCAATCAGTTAACTTTGAAGAATGCGGAATCAAGAGGAGATACATGTCAGGGGGAGCATCCATGATACATGCCTGTTGTACTCTTTTTCCTTCGACTAGGATTTTTCCTACTAGTTTTTTCCTATCAGGGTTTTAACGAGGCAACATAAGCATGCTTAACACTATATCAACAATCCAGGTAAAGTTGTACTCTTTTTCCTTCGCTATGGTTTTTTCCCACTCGGTTTTTCCAAGCAAGGTTTAATGAGGCAACTGATGTTGATATGTGGGCATCCAAGCGGTATTGTTGTAAAAATTATGACAATGATTGAATGCCCACATGGGAATAGTAGTGAATAATAGGGAATAGTTTGTTGTTTTATGTTTTTTCAAAAGTGGTTTATCACGGATGATTGTTTGATTTATCATGGGTGATTTTCATTCTTTATAAACCTACGGATATGGCTCTATAAATAAAGAACTTCGCAGGTGATCAAGACAACAATTGAAAGAACTGAAAACAATAATATCAGTATTTCTCTCTTCCTCTTTTTACTTGCAATCCTTTTATGATATAGTTGTTAGAAGTATAAGATTGTAAGGCTAAGATGATGCCACATGTAAACAGATTAGCTTGTTTGTTATATCTGTTAGAAGAGTCGGTTAACTAGGACAATAAATACTCTCTCTTGTAATAGCTTCTTCATTAAGTAAGATATCAATTCAATCATATTTCTCTATCTCTATCTCTCTCTCTCTCTCTCTACATTCATATAAATTGAGATACTTGGTTAAAATGGTATCAAAGCCATTCTGATGTGTGGTGCAAGTATACTGACGAGGACGTCGGGCCCCTAAGGGGGGTGGATTGTAACATCCCACATTGACCAAAGGAGAGGGGGTGATGTGCCTTATATGTACATGCCCACTTCCATCTAGCACAAGGCCTTTTGGGAACTCACTGGCTTCAGGTTCCATCGAAACTCCGAAGTTAAGCGAGTTTGGGCAAGAACAATCCTAAGATGGGTGACCCACTGGGAAGTTCTCGTCTGAGTTCCCAGAAACAAAACCGTGAAGGCGTGGCCGAGGCCCAAAATGGACAATATTGTGCTACGGCGGAGTAAAGACTGGGATGTGACAGAATGGTATCAATCACCATTAAAGCTTGATCAGCTTCTTCGATCCTCTCTTTTGCTTCCGTTACAGGAAATTCTTTCTTCTTTTATCTTGTGGATGTATCAAGATTACCCAGTTCTTCATTCTTCGCTTTGAAAGTTTGTGCACACAAGGTGTTTGAGTCTTTTCCTCAGGCAGATTTCTCTACAAATTTTCGAAATGGTAACGGCGAATCAACTTTAAATCTTGCAATCACCGATCACTAGTTATTTGATAAGCTTCGTTGCAAGCTTTTTTGATCCTTAGTTCTTTGCTTCCACTACCTATTTTTTTCTTCTACGATCTTTCTGTGATTTCTTTTCTGAATTTTTGGGTTGTGATTCTTACCCATTTCTACCATCTGTTTTCTGCAAGTTCTTACACACTAAGTGTTTATTTTAAGTTCACTGCGAAAACTGATCAACATGGTTACTGCGAGTCAATTGCAGATCTTGCAATCACCGATTACGGGGTTAATTTCATCCATTTCAACATCGATTTCACTCAAGTTGGATGAGACCAACTACCTTTAATGGCACTTTCAGATGCAATTGATGCTTGAAGGTCATGGGATTATGGGGTTTGTTGATGGCACACATATGTGTCCTTTCCAATTTCCTTCTACCTATTCTGGAGATTCTGAGGTGATGAATAATGTCTTATCTTCAAGAACCGAGACAGATGAATACAAGGTCTGGAAAATGCATGATAGGACACTTATGCATCTCATTACTGCAACCTTATCCTTTTCTGCAATTTCTTGTGCTATTGGTAGCATAAGTGCAAGGGATTTATGGGTTAGGCTTCAAGAACAATTATTTATCGTGAGTAGGACTACAATCTTTCAAATGAAATCAAATCTTTATACCATCAAGAAGGGCACTGATTATGTGACTCAGTACCTGCAAAGAATCAAGGAAGCAAGAGAATTTCTTGCTGCTGCTGGAGTCACATTTGCAGATGAGGACATTGTTATTCTTGCTTTTAATGGCTTGCCATCAGAGTACAACACCTTTAGATGTGTGATTCGTGGCAGAGAAAATGTTATTTCTCTCAAAGATTTTCGATCCCAATTGCTTGCAGATGAAGCTTTTGTTAAAAACAATTCCTCAATGCTATGGTGGCACATGATCAAAGACAGGGTTCCAAAGACTCAGTAACTGCAAATTATGGTCATGGATCATTTGCATCAAATGGCTCTACACAAAATTTAGGTTTTCAAGGCAATGGTCATTCTAGTTTCTATGCTAGTCCTGGATGCAATTGAGGCAATGGACACAATCAATCCTTTTAATCAAAATCAAAGGGGCACATGCAAGTTTCAGTATAATCAAGGCCAAAGGTATTCTAATACTAAATGTGTTGTACATGATTTCACTTCACAGTTTAGTAATGGAGCTTCTTATTCTACAATCACTTGCCAATTGTGTGCTCAACAAGGTTATAGTGCACCTAATTATATTTACAGAATCACTGATTCACCTGAGCCATGTCAAATTTGTAATATAAGGAACCATAATGCTGTCACTTACTTGTACAAAATATATGACCTATTCATCTGCACCTCTAACAACTACTATGCTTACCAGTTTCACCGGACAAAACCAATTGTATGTAATCTATGCCATCTCACTTGTCTAATGTGGTGCGATGTGGTAAAGGTCAATTCCATTACAATAATGGTCCAACGTTTAATACATACAAGTTTTTTCCTCAGTTTTCACCAGGAGTTCTTGGCTCACCTCCATCTTCATATCCTAATTCACAGAAGGGTTATTTTGCTGCTCATTGTTGTCACATACTTAATACTCACTTTTCAGTTTCAGCCCCTGAATCATGTCAAAGTACATTGAAAATATCTCAAGGAATTCTTGGCTCTCATCCTCCACTGACAGAATATTATGAATATTGTTGGCCCAATGATGGATGTTTCAGTGGATGTAATCATGCTTATGGCAGGAAGAGAGATTATATTCCAATAGAATATGATGTGACTAACGACATGACTAGTGAAGGAGCTGGTAAGGAAAGAATAGAAAGCATGTTTGGTGAGAAGCTGGAAATGGTGGCAACAAAGAAAGCTATTTTGTCTATTGAGTTGTATGATTTACAAAACCACATTCACCATACTCCATTAATACCATCATTTCAGTGGTCAGATCATGAAATCAATGTATCAACTTCCTTGTGCCATTCTACAATTTACCTTCCATCACTCGAATCTGATCTTACCATCAAATCATCTGATGAAAAATTAACACGATTACCTTTGGGAAATTTAGAGACTGGTGGCATTCTTTTGGAGACAAGTAATGCCTTATCAGATATATTCTCTTATCACTGGCAAGAAGACTATGACAACATTGGAAAACTTGGTGAAATGCATACCTTGAGTAGGTTATGTGATGGTGTAAGTATTGTTGATCTTAAGCTAGCATATCATATGCTAATTACTGACAAAGGTGGAGGCCCCAAGTTTTTGTTCAGAAGCATTTATCTTGGATGTACTTTGAGAATGATTTCTTATTTCTTAATTGCTGGGTTGCTGAGTTAGCTTTTTAAGTTTGAATTTCTTGTTGCTATAATTAGATTACTTGTGCAAATGGTTGGAAGAATTCAATCGATCTTTCATGACATATCAAAATATGTTCTTCATGAATTGCACTAAGTCTAGAGATGTTGATCACAAAGGTAATACTACACTAATGTTCTTTGACAATCTGACTGCTTCAACCTCATGATTGGGTGCCCCAATCTTGAGTTTGAGGGGGGGGGGGGTAGAATGTTAGAAGTATAAGATTGTAAGGCTGAGATGATGCCACATGTAAACAAATTAGCTTGTTTATTATACCTGTTAGAAGAGTCGGTTAACTAGGACTATAAATACTCTCTCTTGTAATAGCTTCTTCATTAAGCAAGATATCAATTCAATCATCTCTCTCTCTCTCTCTCTCTCTCTCTCTCTCTCTCTCTCTCTACATTCATATAAATTGAGATACTTGGGTAACAATAGTTACGAAACTAGACAATGTGATATTTTGCACCCGCTTTATCCTTATCCTTAGCAAATGTTATCTCTCTAACTTTTGCCTATTTATAACAATAAACTTAATTACTAAACACTCAGTGGGTTATTTTTATTTTTATTTTTATTTTTTATCTGAAATTTTGGAAAGGCAAATTTTAAAGTTAAGAATGTTTCACCATTGTTGGTTTCTCCCTATGAATGGATTGGATTGAATAAGGCAGGGGACTTAGGGGAGATCATGATATTTCAACTCCCCAGTTCAGAGGCTTCTCGTGCACACTCGACTCTCCCTCTGCCTGACTCGTCCTCTCCTCTCTCAGACCCAGCTCCGTCCACCGTTCATCCTTCGTCGTCCTGACTGGCTGACGCCTCTCGTCCATCTCTCAGATTCCCTGAACTCCGCTTCTCTTCTCCGACCACCAGGCACAACCATCATCTCCTCTCAAGTTTCAACTCCCGACTCCGACTACCTCCATCATCTCTTCTCTGTCCCGATTCCGACCACCACTAACCATCATCACCTCTCAACTGAAGTCGATAGCTCGAACCCTCCACTACCGAGTAAGGTATTCAGTTTTAATTTATATATGGATATGTTAGATAGGCAATGGGATGTGAGTGATGGATGGGTGTATGTTAGGGATATTTCTCTTTCTTGTGATATCAGTATAGGTTTTGCAGAAGGGGTATGGAACTATGGATGGGTGGACATGAGTGATGAGTTTTGGGAGGGTTAAGTAGTAGTAGGCAATGGGGCATTGGGGTAAAGGGGGATTTGGATTACTATCTCCTACTAGTAAGTAGTCAGGTTTAATTGGACACATTCTCTCGGGAACTGCTACTTTGGTCTCAAAGACGATTATAAGCACATACATTTTTCTTATCAAATTTATGTGATTTGGTCAGAGTCCACATTACCCAAGAGTTTATATAAAGGTAAGCTTTGATCCTTACCTTGCAATATTCTGTGATCCTTTCTAATATTGTTCACTTCCTGATTTATGTGTTTATGTGGTTGTGATTTATGTGTTTGATAGAGATTGTGATTTGTGTGGTTTCTGTGATCCTTTCTAATACTATTCACAATCGGAACTGCTAAAATTGAGTGGACATGTTGGACTAGTTAAGCTAATATAGATTATTGTTTGATGCTTATAGGTAAGATGATTATTTAATGCCTGGCAATTAGAGTAGAAAACAAAGCTTGATCCTCTCGCCTTTCACTTTCTCTGTGTTGCCCCTCCCTATTATTTATTTCTTGTTCTTTTCCTACAACTTTTATGCTTTTAGAACAATGGTTCTGTCTAAGCAAGAAAAATCTTGATGGACAATCTCTAAATTACTTGGGAAGTTGATGAGATTCTTATATTTCTTTCTCCTTCGCTCGTTGTTTTATTTATTTATTATTTTCTTTGTGTATTATCACATTTGTTCGTCTATGTTTGTTCTTGGGATGACCGGGCTTTAAAGCGGAGGCATAATTCTTTTTAGACTACTGTTCTGGTTTCTATTCCCTGACAAAGTTTTCATTTAGAGACTAAGAATAGCCATATAATTGCTTATGTTTCTGAACACACTTAGGTGGATACTTATTGAGAAGTAAAGAATGGATGAGACCATGAAGCAATTCCAAAAAAGCTTAATTGAACTCGAGACTGAAGCTGAGCATCTCCTCCTAGCTCGGAACCAGGTAATTTATACCTCTAGCTTCTCCTTTATAGGCTTGTATGTTTTACCATTAACAAAGATACATTTTGACAAGTAGCTGTGAAGTTGGAAAGTTTGCATTCAAGCACGACGTCAACGGTACATTTCATAAGTTTCAATAATGAATGATTAGATTAAAGGATTGGAAAGTTTCAATAACAAATGGTTTGATTAAATGATTGGAACCATAAGATTATTTTAGATATTGCAGCCCGTATGAAACTGTTTGGAAAAATTAATCTATTATAATTTAGTTACTTGTCGACATTAAAAAAAACCTTGTTACCCGGCTTAATTTTTCAAAATTCCTTTGGTCGGTTGGTCCCTTTCTAACTGATATATTTATGTTGGGTTTTGTTAAACCGTCATTCCCAGTAGTGTTTTTTTTTTAGGTCAACAGTCCCAGTGCAGTTGAGTGGCTTTATTATGTGAACTAATTCAGTTTTATTAAAGTTAGTATTCTGTGTCTTGTTAGTAATACAATGGAGATTTGGTGTTTTTTTATGATGGAAACGCAGATGGTTGAAAATGACAGGGTGAGGAATGGGAACAGAGAAGCACTTACATCTCTGAGGAAGATAGCTCAGACAACCAAAACTAGTGTTCCATCTCCTTTTGAATCAATAATGAAGGAGATTGGGGGGCCTCAATCAAGACCTCTGGTGAAGGAGGTATGCCCTACCTGTGGCAACCATGATTCAAATGAGCGCACTTGGATGATGTTCCCGGGAACTGATGTCTTTGCAAGGATTCCATTTCATGCTGCCCATACCATCTTGGAGACAGGTTTTCTCTCTGGCCGCTTTTTATTTTTCTTTTTATGCAACTAATTGGGACATATACCAACTGTATTATTAAGAAGTGCAGCTCTTTCACATATCAATATATTCATATAACCATGGATCACGAAGGATTAATGAATAATCTCGAGTGTTCACTGTAGTAGCCCTTGTGAGCAAAATGGGTTAAATAAACTTTTTAGGATCTTTAAACAAATTGGTTGAGCTATTTATGAATTCTTAAACCTTTGAAGCTCTAGTGTTTTGTTTAAAAGGCCTATAGATGTTCGTGAAGATGCCATCTTCCCTGATGCAACTTCTATTTATCTTACAAAAGGAAGCTATGCTTCAGATTACATTGGAAAATTTGAAATAAGATCAGAGGGATTTGTTCAGCATTAAGTTTTTGTTATTAACTCAGTTTCTCCTACTGAAAAGTTTCAAATTTTTAATGTGTCAGACTTTATAGTGTTCTTGCTTGTCAATCATAATTTCTCAAACTTAACCATTGACACTTCTTAGAGGAATTCATTCGAGTTTCTAGACGCTTCTTAGATGTTTGTGTTTTGCTGCGTTGCTGTCCTGTCACTTATTACTGCCAAAGTTGGGAAGTATGGCTCATGAACTCTCAGAATTCAAGAGTTGTCATCTGTGCCTTCTCATAAAAAATATATGTTTTTATAGATTTAAATAATTTTATAAGTCGAATGCTTTGTAGCTTCATTATTTACTTTTCAGAAGAAAAAAAAAAGAGAACTTTTTGCTATTGCCTTTGGGATGCAGAACAAGAGCAACTTGATTTAGACTCTAGAAGGTTGCAAGGCATTGTGAAGGAGAAATCCCTTGTGATTTCGGACAAAGGTGCCCTTGCTGACAAGATCTGTCCGGGTGTGCTGAAGTCCTTGGTAACCCTGTCAGACAAACCAAAGTGAGTTGTGCTTGATGTATTAGTAGTCAATTCTGTTATAACCTCACATCCACCCCCAAGTAAGGAGAAAAGGAATAAACGTTAATCACTCTGGCTATCATCACAGACAGAGCTCTGTGTAGGCTAGTGTTCATAATTTTTCCAGTGTAGCTCTAGTGCTGTTAACATGAGAATTTTCTTCGAAACAGGGATTGATTGGAATGGAAAAGCTAGCAATTGTCACTACTTGCGGAATAGGAAAAGTGTGATGTATCTTATTTAGATTTCACCTCCCTCTTACTTGTGTTATAAAAAGTTGTGATATGTGTGGTGTAAGCAAACTGTGTTTCTCTCGCTGCGGCGGAGGACAAGCGTGCTTGTCTTGGGAAGGAGAGGAACTGAACCGTGGATCACTTTGCAGGCAGAGAGGCACAAGAAATGGTGGGTTTTTTTTTCCTACACTTGTATTGTTGTTGAGTTGATTTCTCGTAGTTTTGTGGGCACTCTAGTATAACGCAATACAAACGTGATAGGTTATTAGCCGTCAATCCAGATGGATCTAACTATGAATCAACATCTGTTGAAAGTCTAAATTTGGTTGACGTAAAATACCGTAGCAGTGGCATTTTGTTTACGGAAGTCGTCATTGACACATCTTTCCTTAGCCACTCGCTCTATTTGAGAGTTTGTCTAGTACGGACCCGCTCATACCATGAACATGATAGTTGGAATATTCATTGGATTCTTGGCGTATTAGTCGTTGAATTCTTGGCGTATTAGTCATTGAATTGTTAGCGAAGAATCCAACAACAATGAATCTTAGTCGTAGTTTGAACCTGAGATCAATCCAACAACAATGAATCTTAGTCGTAGTTTGAACCTGAGATCCATTATCGTTGAAATTGTTATTGGATTCTTGCCTTATTAGTCATTGACTTTTTTGCTAATAATCTGACAGCCATGATTCATTTATAAAACTTTGCACTAAGAAAGTGGAACATAGCTGACAAGGGATTTGTGGGAACACCCTATACACTCATTGAATATTTATTGCAAGCATAGGTAAGCAAAAAGTATTAAAGGTTTTTTTTTTTAATTTTTAATTTTTATTTTCTATAGCTTGAGAAGGCATTCCACTAGAGCAGTTCACCGTGGGTTAATCCCCTAGGGGATTGGCTCTTTAATCCCCAAGGGTAACAATTTAGTACGCATGGCATTTAATGTAAAGTATAATTGATCAGATATGATTCAAGATGATAATCTAGAAGGATTATACTGTTATTTCTTTTGTTACTTGATTTTATGGCTTTAGGTAACCATTTATATAGGAGAAGAAAATTAATATCATTTTTTTCTTCTTTTTTTTTTTTGCCTTGTATTTAGGAAACTGTGTTTGTGTTGCTTTGTTATTGTCTTTGAGAGGAAGAGAGTTTTGTTTTTTAAAGATAATTTAACTTTGTACTTTGTAGTTCGATATAGATAGATGTTTGAATCTGTACTAGCAACCATTTGGACAGAATTGAAAACTTATTATAATTGTATCAATGTATATTTTCAAGAAACCATACTCAGGTTGTTGTCTTAGTTGACTTTGCAGATTATGGTCTTTTGTTTCAATTGATTTTATATTTTTTTCTTTCTTTTTGGGTTTGTATTGAGTGGACTTACTAGCATTTTGACCTTGTATATATTATTGGAAATCCTAGGGTACTTGTGACTTCCAAAAGAACAAATGGCAGCAAGAAAGAAAGCATTTTCAACAGTCTAAGAGGTTTTTGAGACGCATGGTGCCATAACTGACACACCCCGTCCCGAAGGAGGGCATGCTGGCCGTCACGTAAGAGTGACGTAATCATTTACACAATTTGGAAGCTTTAAAGATACAATTATTAAGATGTAACACCCGGGGGTGAGTCCTACTTTTGTGAATTCTGTCAGAACACCGTTGGATTCCTCGTGGCCACCAAAGCTCTGCTATCTTGAACCTGGAGAGGCGCAAAACAAAGTTGAGTGGGTCAGTAAAACAAAGTTTTTCGAAAACATTTCATTGAACAACATTTCTAACCCCTCGCTGTAAAACCTGTATAATTTCCCAGAAAATAGTATATATATAACCATATATAATCTCAAAACACAAATCACAAGTCTTTAATACTTTTCAAGAAAACATGACATGCTATGCATCAAAACATAATGAGGATGCAACATTATAACAGGTGAAATAAGGAATCAACCGGAGACTCTGCAGTTGGTCTTGTACGGTTAATTCTATAGCTCAATATCCAATCCAACTGGAGTCACCAGCTGTGACCTGTACGGCACTGCTCTGCACATAAATTGGAACTACCTGAAGTAGTCTGTACGATAAGAATTGTGTAATAATACGCTCTAGTGCTTCTCTCATCAACAACTGTATAATAATCTAAGTTCACCTACAAGTTGGAACCACCTCTCATGGTTTGTACGACATGCACCTACTTGGATCCAAGGTGAGCGTGTGGTGCGGGGTGAATAATATAAGCACTAACACCAGGGGTGCAGGTTATGAGCTCTCAACATAATTCACATCATCAATAAATCATATGAACAATATAAACTCACCTGATACTCACATGTGCGTCCATAACACCATTAACATATATATGCGTAAATTACTTATTCATATATTTCATATATATGTATGTATGGCATTTTAAAACATACTTTCATTTAAATTCAATTTCTGGGAAAATCAATAGTATATAGGTAAATACAGAAAATACTGCCCACTCACCTGGAGTTCGCCCTACAACTCCCTAGCACAACACATCAAGGCGTCATGATGATCGGCGCCTAGAACAATCATCAAATCAAACCTTAGAAATAATATCGATAGAATAAATAACTTATATAAAACACGTCACTACGCAGTTTGATCCGGAAGATCTGCAACTCAGATTTCCAATCCATAACTTCCAGAGGTCCACAATATATCTCTAGAACAACATCCTAAAATTTCCTTACCATCCAACGGTCGGATCTCAGTCAATTGTCAAAACCAAGTGACGGTTAACATTCTATTTTATGAACTTACAACTCCAATTCCTGAAGATCCGTAAATAGGATTCCCAATCTATAAGTTCCTATAATCCTCAAATATTACGTATTACAACGTATCAAAGTTTGGTGACGATCCAACGGTCGGATCGTCAATTCACATTTTCACCTAACCACGAATCATAACGAACTTAGGTTCAATTACTCAATTTACGTCAATCAATTATTAAACTGAACCTAGAACATTAAACACATGCTAAGAATGACATTGGTGGGTCACTAGCCATGCGTCGCCGCACGGGCCGCCGCGGGTGGCGGTTGGCCGCCCCAGCTCGCCGAAAAATCCAACTATCTTAAAAAATTACCAAAATTTACAAAAATGAAGATCTCAATGAATAGAGTAAACTTTATACCTGAGGCCAAGGCCAATTTGGCTTGGAAACACTTCAATTTCACCAAAATCCGTGCGGACCTAGAAATGGGTGAGTTCCAATTCGTCCTCAAATCAACTCCGCCGTCCCAACCAATGCTTGGGATTTGTTCTAGGCCTCAAGAGGAAGCTATGGGTGGTGGCAATTGGAAGAAATTGCTTCGGGATTGGGTGATTCGAAGACAAAGCCGCTGCACCCCTTTCTTGCGGTTTTCTCCATTTTCAAAGCCAAATCTCTCCAATTTTGAGATGGAATGGATAGAGGAAGCTCCTAGAGTGTTTCCCATGAGGTTTCTTGAAGCAATTCGCCAGAAAAACAGGTGAAAATCATCGAAAATCGGCATGGGTGCCGACCGGGTCAAGAACGGGCCAAGGGGATCCGGCCGATCCCCCACGCCACTCTCTCCCTCCTTTCCTCCTTTCTGGTTGGCCATCCTCTCCTTCTCCCTTCTCCTGATTCGCCAGCTCTCTCTGCTTTCTCTCCCGAAGCTCCGGCTCTCTTCCTCTGGTTGGGCAGTTCTGCCTAATCTCTTCTTCTTCCTTTCTTTCACCAGCCACGCACACACACACGTAACCTCCTTTCTTCTCATCCCAACCATCCATTTATTTCTTCATTAAATCTGGGCCGTCTACTTTCATAAAAGAAATTCCAGATTTTACTAAAATTATAATTCCTAAAATGCCCAAATTTCAAACGTTAATAACTTTTTCGTTATAACTCCAAATCACGAACCGTCTGCTCCCATGCTTCCATAGCGACGAGTACTACGAGAATATGTCAAGAAAACAAATCTTAGATGGCACGACATGATGATTAATCTCGAATAATGTGCGTGCCTCAAAGGGCATTTTTGTAAAATCCTTTATTAAAACTTTAAAAACTCTTAAAATCAGGGACGAGCTGTCACAATAACCCTTGAAACTCCACTTTTGGAATTGAGAGAAACTTTTACGGCAAAATATGGGAAAGATTGGGAATCGATTGATGATCTTCCCGAAGAGGTATTTCTCAGTTTCAACTGTTGTCAACTTGAGGGAAGTTTTGTTTTTATTTCCTGTAGTTAATTTCAATGTTTTTCTTGTCGTGACTCATACAAATGTAGTGTGAAGAGAGGCATGGGTTAAAGGTTTAACTTAGTTTGATTCTTAGCACACGCTCTATTTTAGCCAAAGATCACTCTTTTTGTACTTGGAGGTCTTTGATGATCTTTAGTATTTCCAAATATGGTACATTATTCCAACCAAGAACAGCATTCCCAAGAATAATAAATTTCAAGTAACAAACGAAATTCAATTAGTTAACAACAGTATAATCTTTCTTTATTATCATCTTGAATCACATCTAATAAATTATACTTTACATTAAATAACACAAACATAGTTCCCCAAATAAAGAGGTAAAAAAAAAAAATGCTAGAAATTTTCTCCTACATGTTGAATAAATGGTTACCTAAAGCCACAAAATCAAGTAACAAACGAAATTCAATCAATTAACAACATTATAATTCTTCTTGATTATCATCTTGAATCATACGTGATCATTATACTTTACATTATATGGCATGAGCATCGGATCTTACCATTGGAAGTCTTCCACTCTCATTGCTTTCTATTGTTATCTCCGCCATTGTCGAAGCTCAGAGGGGGAGAGAGAGAGAGAGAGACTATGTGAGGGGTCATAGCAGGGTTATGAGTTAGGGATTTTCTTTATGTGCGCTAGGGTTCCGCTTTCACATCGTTGAGAAAATAGGGCTTAGGGCACAAGGTGATTGGCCTGATATAATAAAACTGCAAGAGAGCTGGTAATGAGAGTGGAAGACTTCCAAAGGTAAGATTGTAGTACTCATGCCATTTATGTAACGTATAATTGATTGAATTTTGTTTGTTACTTGAAATTTATTTATTATTCTTAGAAATGTTGTCATTGGTTAAAATAATCTATCATCTTTCGAAATACTAAAAGATAATTGAAGACAACCAAGTACAAAAAGAGTGATCTTTGGCTAAAATAAAGCTTGTGCTAAAAATCAAACTGAGTTAAGCTTTTATCCCCACCACATTTTCACACTGCATTTGTATGAGACATGACCTAAAAAACATTGAAATTAACTACAAAAAAATAAGAACAAAACTCCACTTGAGTTTACAACAGTTGAAGCTGAGAAATACCTCTTCAAGAAGATCATAAATCTATTCCCAATCTTTTCCGTTGCCGTGAGGGTTTCTCTCAGTTCCAAGGGTGGAGTTTCAAGGGATGTGGCACCATGCATCTCAAAGAACTCTTGAACTGTTGACAATGCTTTCTTTCTTGCTGCCATTTGTTCTTTTAGGAAGTCACAACTACCCTAGGATGTCCAATAATATATACCAGGTCAGGATGCTAGTAAGTCCACTCAAAACAAAAGCCAAAATAATAATAATAATAATAATAATAATAATAATAATAATAAAATCATAAAATCAGTTGAAAAAAAATACCACAGTTTCCCAAATAAAAAGGTAACCAAAAAAAAAAAGGAATGACTTTAATTTTCTTCTCTTACATGTCTCTTACATGTCGAATAAACGGTTACCTAAAGCAACAAAATCAAGTAACAAATGAAATTCAATCAATTAATGACAGTATAATCCTTCTTGATTATCATCATGAATCATATCTGATCAATTATAATTACACGAAATGGCATGAGTACCGGAATCTTACCTTTGGAAGTCTTCCACTCCCATTGTTTCTACTATTATCCCCACCATTGTCATAGCTTAGAGGGAGGGAGAGACTGTGTGAGGAGTTGTAGCCAGATTATAAGGTAGGATTTTCTATACGAGCGCTAGGGTTCCGCTTTCACAGCGTTGAGAAAATTGGGCTTCCGGCATAGGTAATTGGCTTGATATAATAAAACTGGAAGAGAGCCATTTAATGTAATGAGAGTGGAAGACTTCCAAAGGTAACATTCCAGTACTTATGCCATTTAAAGTAAAGTATAATTAATCATATGTGATTCAAGATGATAATCAAGAAGGATTATACTATTGTTAAGTGATTGAATTTCGTTTGTTACTTTAAATTTATTATTCTTAGGAGTGGTGTTCTTGGTTAGAAT